CTCCAGCAGCGTCTGGCGCCCCAGGATGCGCACGCTGCAGAGCCGCACCGCGCGGACCTCGGGCCGACGGCGCTTCGCCGCCGCCCCCCGTCAGCGCTTCGCCGCCGTCGTCGTGCGCCCCTCCGACTGCCTACCAAACCACCCCAACCCAACCCGAAGACCCGAATTTCGCCCGAATCTCGGGTCGGCGGGGGTACGGGCTCCACATGTGTTTTTTCCATGTTCCCCGACTCCCCCCCACTGGAAATGAAAGGCACATCCGGGGCTTTCGGGTTGGGTTGGGGTGGTTTGGTGGGCGGGGACCCTCCGCCTCCCCCACGGCCCACGGCCCAGGGAGGCAAAAACAGACCAGCACAAGTCCCAGGATCTCCCCTGGTTGTCAATAGTTCCTGGGTGTCTTCCTCCTCCCCCCGTGTCCCGTCTTTTCCGATCCCCACCTCGTTCCCTGAGGCTTGGGCGTCGCAGTTTTCACACAACCGCCGATGTTGGACCCCATCGACTGGCAAACCACTGCGGAACACACTGCGAACCACTATGATTAAGCCATTACCTGCAGCACTATGTAGCATTCAATACATGCGTTGCTTGTGATGCACGGTGCCTTGCCGTCCTATGCGTTTTGGGGCCTGGGACTCTCCAGGATCGATCGGGCTCGAAAACTGCCTCTGAAAAAAAAGGGTCCAAGGCTCCAGTGGAATTGAACCGTTTTTCTTTCGTCGCGTCGGATATATGGATTCCCCGTCCCTCGAAAAACAGAAAAACAAACTCATCGTGAGAACCCCGACAAGCGAAGCCGTCTAGTAAGCGCACCCAGGGAAATAATCGAACAGGACAGGGCTGTTCATGAAACGCCCAGGGCCGTTCATTAAAGGCCTTGGGCCGTTAAGTAAACGCCCAGGGGCCGTTTAGTAAATACCCAAGGCTCTGGTCGAAATTTGGTTCCTCGTGTCGTCCAATGTCAGAGTTCCCCGTCCTCCTGGCGGCCGGGCAGACGGGCGGCCCCCTGGCCCCAAGGGGGGGAGAGAATTGGAGGAGGGGGACGAGGAGAAGGAGGACGAGGAGGACGAGGGGACAGAAAGGAGGAGGAGGAGGAGGAGGAGGAGGAGGAGGAGGAGGAGGATGAAGAGGAGGAGGGGAATAATGAGGGAGGAAAAAAGAAATCCATTATACTACGAATAATCATCATAGTACTAAATGCAAATAAGCAGAAGGGAAAATAACAAGAGGAATAATAATAAGAAGAAGAAGAAACGCGACCTCTGGCCAAGGGGGCGACATCAGTCCGCGCGATATGGGTGGGCCCCCGCCGTCGCCCAGTCGACCAGCATCTCCACTAGGACGCGCGGCCCCCGCGGGCCCGCTCTTACTGGCCAGTCGACGCGTAGTCGAAAGGCTTTCTCGTCATGATCTTGTTAACCAATCCACGGGCTCATCCTCCACGATTCCAGCTGGCGCCTTTCCCTCCATCACGACAGCTCCGACCTGCTGCAGCGCGCGACGAATGGAGTCGTTGATGCCCACCTGCAGTTGGTTATTCTCCGTCGGTTCCTCCTCCGACTCCGCGTCCATCTAGGCGCCTAGCTCGATGCAGGTTGTGAGTTTCGCCTGCTTGCTGTCGTAGCATTTGCTGATCCTGAGGTGCTTGACCTTCTCCATAACTTGATGTACCGAAACTAGGCCAATGTACTTGCCGTGATCGGCGATGATGTGCCTGGTCGTGCCGCCCACGCCCTCTGTTGGGAAAGTCGAAATGAACGCCATGTTGAAATGCCCCCTCTGGTGGCCGGAAAGAGTGCACCTTGCCCGCCTCCTTGCACTCATCGCCTAGATCGCCCTGCATGCTCGGAGTGTTTTGATGACGGTGCTCTCCACTGGGATATGTAGACGCTGTAGACCGCTGCCATGACCATTGAGAACTGCTGCGCGTTGGCGAGCACCTGCTTGGTGAGTGCCGTGGGCAGCATCTTAAACGCATCTTGAGCGCAACGTCGATGTACGCAGTACAATCATCTGCCCCTCGTTTGTGCCTGACGTTGGATGCCGTTGCTGCGGCTTGGGCAAACCACGCCACAACCGCCCCTCCCCCGGGTGCCCCTGCCGCCGAGTCGATCTCCATATGTGCTCCCCTGCCGCCCTCGTTGGTCCGCCGCGATTTTCCAAAAAGTCCGCTGTCGGCCAGGCTGCTGGCCGCATCGGCGATCTGCCTCTATTCCGGCACGAGCCACGCCATCGTCACGCTGCTTCGACTGGGCACTGTCGTCGAGGCTGCTTCGACTGGGCTCTGTCATCGGGCGCGCTGCGCCAAGTAGATGGGCGGGACAAATGCAGTTGCAGATTCTGAAATGGCCGCAGTTTGAGACAATGAGCTGATCGATCGCTACTGAGAATAATCAGTCCGAAAAGAGCGCGTTTTTTATGTTCGGCGATGACGGGCGTCATGGGGGGGGGGGGGGGCGGGGGGGGTATTACGTGACGCCCCCCACCGCCGTGTGGCTCCGGCACCACAGCCGCGCCCGCGCGCACGACGCGACGAGCGACGAGTGACGACGACGACGCGAGCAGCATGTAAGTGGCGATCTGCCCATTGCGCCTGTGTACACCACAACGCTCGCGTGCACCACACCGCGCGTGTGCACCACAGCGCCTGCGTACACCGCGACGGCCGTGTGCAACGCACCGCCCGCGTATACCACAATACTTGGGAACACTACAGCGCTGGTGTACATACACCGCAGCAGCCATGTGCAACACAACGCCTGTGTACACCACTGTGCTTGCGTGCGCCGCAGCGACTGTGCACGCCACAGTGCCTGTTTACACCACAGCATCCGCGTGCAACGCAACGCTGGTGTACACCACAGTGCCTGCGTGCATAGGACAGGTAGAAGGAGCATGTACGTCAGGATTTGCTGCGGACAACTAAACGCCACGCCAGGAAAATTCTCCATGCTTTCCCTGTTTGTTCCACTGTTTCTCTGGAATCCACATGCGCTCCATTTTGTCAAAAAGGATTCCTTCTGAAATTCTATACACAACAATTGTGTTGTGTTGCACACGGCTGATGTGGTGCACACACGCGCCGTGGCGTACACAGGCACTGCAATGCACGCAGGCACTGTGGTGTACACAGGTGCTGTGTCGCGCACGGCTGGTGTGGTGTACGGAGGCGCTGAGGTGTACACAGAAGCTGCTGTGCCCGCTGGCGCGGTGACATAAACTGACGCCGTGTTGCACGCGGTTGCTGTGGTGTACATCGGCGGTGTGGTGTGCACAAGCTTTATGGTGCACGCGGGCACTGTGATGCACACAGGCGTCGTGGTGTATATCGCCACCTACATGTTCGTGCTACCCGTCCTCCGTCATTCCTAAGCATTCCCGGAACCCCGCCGGCGCGAAACGTGACGTCATCGACCCCTTCCCCCCCAGATGATTGCCGTCATCGGCCCGGTCCGCGCGCACGACGACGATGAGCGACGAGCGACGAACCACGAGCGACGACGACGGACGACGATGACGACGACGACGACGACGCCTGCGGACCAGACACCTATGCGGATTCCTACGCGGACAACTACGCGGATCCCAATGCGCACGGCCGCAGTGCCCGGAGCGCACTGGGGGGGGGAGTGTTGCGTCATAGGGGGGGGGGCCATGACGCCTGTCATGCCCCAAGCAATAAAGAAACTGGTTCCAATTGTCAGTGATGCATCGCTGATGTTTGAACGAACGCAGACGGCGGTCTGCATCCTGCAGTCGGCCCATGCGATGATAGCCGCTGCTTCCACTGACCTGGGACCGAATTCACCTCCTTCTGACGCGCGCGGAGCGCTGCCCGCGATGAGAATGCGCCGGCACAGACCCGTCCTGTTTCCGGCGACAAATTGCATTTGGGGAGAAAAACGCCTCCCCCGCGACTTTCTCCCTGCGCACGTGCTTCGAAGCCAGGAGGCGGCATCGGCCCTGGCCCGCAGCTCCGCGGCATCAACGGTCAAGAACGCTTCTGAGACTTTTGCGCCTCGGCACGGTTCGCCAACGCTGCCATTCCGAATCAGACAGAATTGATCCGTGCTGTCAAGCTCCAATGAAGAGAGAGCGTCTTTGTAGAATTACCGCGCCCACAGATTCGCCCTCCTCGATGCGCCCGCCCCCGCGACGCTCCCGACGCTCTCCGTTGCGCGGGCCAACCTCGAACGGGATTATGCCAAGCAACGCAATAAGGCATTACTCGCAGTCCGCGCCGCACATGATAAAGCCTGGATCACACCCAGTCGCCAGACGCGCATCTCGATGCACATGGCCGAGATGGCTCTTGCGGTCGCTCAGCCCCGCACGCGGCAGAGCAAGGGTTTGGACGGATGCCGCGCCTAGTCGTCTGCACTGTATGTCCCAGACCAGTCCACTTGCGGCTGCTCCGACACCCCACTGATGAGGATGATCTGTTTCAGTTGCAATGGAACTCGCCTACGCCAGAGCTTGCCTACGAGGGCCCAGGAGCGCTTGAGGTTCTGGATGCGTGAGTCGAGTTCGGCAGCGTTGCTGTCGGCACAATAGAGACGGCCTCCGAAGAATTTCATGGTCAGCAGCCCTCTGCCATTGACACGGTGACCCAGATTGCGGTTCTCCCCGCGAGCTCGTGACCCTCCAGCGACCTCCTCATTGTTGGCGTTCGGGCTGTAAGAGCACTCGTCGAAGTGCTTGCCCAAAACGAGGTTGCCGTTGTCGAGGATGGCCGCCTCCCCCTTGGCCGCGCCACTGGAAACGCGATGCGTGTGGGTAGATCCTCCTGCATTCGGGGTGCTTGCTGCGCTGTCCCACGCCGTCGGAATCCACGGGGTCGGGTTCGACATGTCTGGAAATTTGTCGCGGTCTCTATGCTGCAACAAGGAACAACCAAGATTATTGGGAATCGGTTGGCCGTTCTCTGAAACAGTAAAAATACTGCGGCAGTGTGCTGGAATGGGAGGGCAGGGTGGGAAGGATGAGGAGGAGGAAAAGATGTGATGAGATGAGATGAGACCAACTAGGAAGTGAGCATTCTGTAAAAACACCTCTGCCAA